GCCCCGGGACCCGAGTGCGGGCTGGGGTCGCGGGGCGTTGCTTGTCGTCCGCGCGGGGCTCGGGAATTGGCGCGCGGGGGTCGCGCCGTCGACCTGGTCCCCACCCCGCGCCCGCCGCCCGGGTTCTACCCCCGTCTGGGCTACTGCCCCGCGGTGGCGTCCCCTGCCCGAGCTCGGGGTGGGTGACGAGGGCAGCGGCGCCCTTCCTCCTGGTTCCCTTGGCGGCCGCGCCGGGCGGGGAAATTGGCTGCCAGGTCGTGTCAGGCTCCCAGAGAACTAGCGGCCTGACCCCCGGGGCCCGAGGTCAGAGGCGGAGGCTGCGGGAGGGTAACGGGGTCTGGCCAGGCCCTGCCCAGAAAGGCGGCACTTTCGTCTTTCTGAGGGACTAGGAGCCTTTGGCCTTGGCCTGGCAGGGTCCAGCGTGGTGCCCATGAAGAGGGGTTGTTGAATAAGAAAGTTTCTTTTCCCAACTGACATCCTTTCTGTAGTTGTGATCCTTTCCCTCTGCAGCCCCCGAGTTCTGTGCTAATTGGTCAGCTGATTAGAGGAACAGTCTCTTCTGTGTGTCAGAAATTGAGGAGCCCCTAGAGGCTGGGGCTGACAGAGTGGAAGATCAGAGAAAGTCCAGGTTCAGAACAGTGCGGTGAGTGCTGTGCTGGGAGGGAGGATGGGTGTGGTTGAGGACAGAATGCTCCAGGCTAGAGGGCTTCCAGGAGGAGGTGACCTGTAGGCTGCTGGGTCTGAAGTAATGGTAACTGGCCCAGGTGAAGTCTGTGTAAATGGGAGCAGACCTGGACCCTGGGGGCAGGTGATGGGAGAAGAGACATTTTAGGGGATAACTGCCTATGGACTCTGCCCACCAGAGGTTCCAGTGAGAGGGCAATGCCTGGTATTGTTCCTTGTGTGTGGAGGGTGCCCAGTGACCCTCTGCAGTGGGAATGAGGATCAGAGCACTTCCTGCTTCAGGACAGCATAGGTGGGCCCTTGTTTGTGTTTTCATCTGACACCTTTAAGGTGGTGTTGGAGAATGTTAGTGAGACTGAGACTACTGTCTTGTAGAGTGACACCTCAGACATGTGCTTCTTGATGTAGATTCTCCTACGCCTCGCAACCTTACCCATTTACAGGAGGGCCTGGATCTGAGAACAAGGCTTGGGGGACATCACTTTGTAGAGTAGAACATTCTCAAAAGGCCCAGGGTTTGCAGAGGATGCACTGTCCACCTAAGAATTTATGGAATGTGTTTGCAAGTTTCTGCTGCTTCTCCGTTCAGGTCACATCTGGGAAAGCAGGTTCCATGGTTTAGTTCTCTATTAAATGAACCAAAATCTCCTTTGGCTTGTGTTCAAGCTGAAATGTCCAGGATATAGCCTCTCACTGTTAGTTGGCCTCAGCACTCAGTTCTGTTCATTTTTCCTCATTTCTGAGCTGTCTTGGCTTTGAATCCTTCAAGAGCTGTGTTTTCAGATGGTCAAGTGTGTCCACTCTGTGGCTCAGCCAGGGAAGCCACGTAGCAAGGATGGAGTGAGTTGGCTGGGGGCCTTATCCCAAGATGTTGTCATCCAGCACCACTCTAGTTTTCTTAGAGCTCAGCAGACCAATGTGATGATGTGACACCATCCATAGCTTGTGATGGGCTCATCAACTATGTTTCATACTCTGGAGTGGGGTGCCCAGGAGACTGCTCACTTTGCCACTGGTTTAGCCTGGCAATAGCTGATCTCTTTTCACTCCTTGAGTATCTCCAGCGTGCCTGATTTCTGCTTAGAGTATGCTGGGGGCTGGAATGAGGGAGGAGGGAGGAGAAGGTGGCAGCCGCACTGTCCTTGTGGGTAGCACAGCTCTCTGAGATTGCTGTTTCATGCTGGCAGCTGGCCATGTACCAGGGGAAGCACTGAGAGTGTGAATGCTCATCAGGAGAGACTGTGTGGGTGCAGCCCTGAGGAATGAACAAGGGAACATGGGGGTCTACTCATTTCCCAAGAAAACCTTTTGACTGCCCTCCCACATCCCTGGGAGGGTCTGAGATTGCATGCGAGACCTTGGCCGACTTGTGGCCACGCTGGCTGATAGTGTGTATTAGGCTGGCGGGTGTGTCCTTGACTCCTGGGATCTGTCAAGAGTTTAATTTTATGCAGATGGAGGTTGGCAGGAAATTCTGTGATGCAGGCACGTGCAAGCCCAGACAGAATGCTGGAGTTGAACTGAACTTCGGAAAAGTTGCTTATGTAGGCATTTTTGATTTTTTGCATTACCCCAGGGTGAGGGCTGGTGGTCTTTGGATTTGTGCTGGGTATGTGGAGTGAGGGGTAGTTTTTATTCTCAGGAGCAGAGGAGAATGAAAAGTCTGGATTAGACTTTTTGGAGCCTTAGAAGAGAATTTTTGTTTAGTGGTCATTGCAGAACAGAAGATAATAGTACTTGTGAATGAATATTCTAGCTCAGATGGGATCTGTCTGAGCCTACTCACAGACCAGCATCTGCTCTAGACCTTTTAGGAAGTGCTTGCGAGAGTATAACAGCACTGTACCTAGCACTCTTGGGAGGTAAAGGTGTAGTTGTGATTCTGACTCATGGCATATATCAACACTCTGAATAAACAGGTCAGAGACACAGATATACATGAGATCCTAGAGTACTGGTCCAGCTCATGCCTTTTGGCCAAAGAATTTTCCTTGGTGAGCTTAAGAGCAAGTGATGATCAGGTCAGTTTGCTGTCATACAAGACACCAGTCTCAGGCTTCGTTGGTGGCCTAGGGGTTAAGTTTCAGCACTGTCACTGCTGTGGCGTGAGTTACATCCCCAGACAGGGAGGTGACCCACATACGGTGCAGCAGACCTCTCCTGACCTGCCTGCTGCTCCCCTCAGCAGTGTATTCCAGCAAATCCCCATTCTGTATATGACGAATCCTTTTAACCCCCATACCTCTGGCCTATACCCCAAATCTACTACAAAAAAAAAATAAATAAAGACTTAAAAAAAAAAAAGACTGCAGTCTATCCTAAGTTAATGTCTCATTTATTCCAGCACTCTGGGACCTGGAGATTTCCAAGTATTTGCTTTGTTTTCATCTTCACTGTCCCTTAGAGTGTCTCCTCCCCAGGGATCAATTGGGACGCCGGCCCCTCTAGGTACACTGCTGCTCCTTCAGTACCCTCAGGGTTTATGGTTTATAAGTTGTACCCGGCACAGGGCTGCTTACTGATTTTCATCATCTCACTATCACCATTATTTATTTATTTATTTTCACTTTTTTCCCCCACCATTATTTAGGTGGATAAGTCAAGACTTAGAAAACCTGCAACTTGTTGAAAGGTCCCAAAGCTAGGAAGTGGTAGCAGAGCTGAGATGTCACTCTGGGGCTGTCTCATCCCATGGCAGGCGCCTACCCACTAGACTGTTCTGCCTTGCCCTGGACTGAGCTGGTCGCACACCTGTGAGGGCCACTGCTGTGCTATCTGAGGCTGGCGTGGCTGTCACCTGCATGATCCTGACTTCTGGTCCCATGTTGCTGTCCTCCCTCTGGTGGCATATAGCCAGTGATGTCCATCAGGCTGTTTTGTGAGTCTTTGTCTCAGGATGGCCACCTACTTGTACTACAGCTGTTACTGTAGAAGTGAATGGCAGCCACATCGATTGGAAAGTATATTTTGGTTGAGGCTTGGTCTTGCCATTGATCTGCTGTGGCAAGTTAGGTGTAGTAAGCCTCAATTATCTTTTATATCTATATATGAAATGGAGATGATTATGTAGCTTACAAGGTTTTGGTGAGGATTAGGTGGTAGAAATGAAAGGTTTTTGGAAACATCAATGGTGGTTCCCAGAAAACAGAGCCCGAGGCAGAGCTTAAATGAGTAATGCTTTATTGGAAGGGACACCACAGGGCAGCAAGGATGAAGGAAAAGAAAAGTAAGGCAGAGGATAGGAAGCACATACGAGTCGTGTTTTAACATGCCAGTCAGTCCGCACACAGATGTACTAGTTGTTCAGCCATACAGGACACTTCTGGGCAAGCGCTACAGAAGTTCCATGCCACAGAACAGGTTCCCAGTCGGGAGGCCTAAGAGGGAGCTTAACTACTCACTCTGTCTTACCATCTGCTCTCCAGAAGTCAGAATTGCCTCTTGAGGAACTAAATCCTCTTGTTCCTGCCTCTTGGTTGCACTACCAGACACCTTCCACAGCCACTTGGGAGGCCAGTGTGGCACCTCACTGGAATCTAGAAGTAGAGGGAGGAGCCAGAGATTTGGGACCTACATAGTTTCCTCCTCTGTTGGATCTGAGGCAGAATGAGCAACTCAGTGCCCTGGAGACAGGGAGGCTGAGAAAGTCTGACATGATATGTACATGATATGTCCAGGGCACCTACCTGTGATGTGTGGATGTTTTCCTCTTGTAGTTAACCCCCCCCCCTTTTTTTTCCTTTTATGAAGATAATATAACAGTGTGATATCCAGGGAGTGGGGAGGTTCCAGGTTTCCTGCCTCACCCTAATAAAGGGTAGTGTTGGGTAGGAGAACTAGAGAGGAGAAGGGAGAAGCAGAGATGGAGGGGGAAGAAGACCGGAGAAGGCACATGATGCAGAAAGACTTGCGAAGAAGTCACTGTTACAGGGAAGTCAGGATGTAGGCTGGAGGTGCTGGGATGAAAGAATTCACCAGAGACAGAGAACAGAAAAAGCAGATTTGTGGAAATGCAGTGGGCAGACAGGAGAGGTCTGCTGTGCATCATACAGTTCTCCCTCTATGAGTTCATGTCATCTAGAAGGCCCAGTGTCTGCCAAGACCATGACAGAAAACCACACTGGCTTCTGCCCATCTTTGCTGCTTTATTGCTTACATCTTGAAGCAGGAGACTGGTTGTGATGGTACTCAAGTGGGAAGTATAAATCAGTGTGTTCATGTGCAAAGGACAGAGAAGGCATTAGGATAGACAGGTGAAGATCTAGGCTGCATCATGTTCTCAGTGAAGGAGCATATTTTTCATGTGAGGTAGCAGTTGAAGATAGGAGAGCTGGAGTCATGAATTGGTACTGGAGAGGGTGATAAGGCCAGGTCTCAGTGAGTCAAAGAGGCTCTTAGAGCTTAAGGAGTTTGAACTGTATCCTGAGGACAGTGGAGAGCCCTTGGAGAGTTCTGAGGAAGAGAGCAAGGAGGAGCTTCAGTAAGCCCTGTTCTCCACTCTGCGGAACAACGGTGGAAGGGAGATCACATGACATGGCAGATCAGTTTAGGAGAGAATTAGGGTGGTTTAGATCAGGTTGAGGACTGAGATGACCTCCAGTAAGAAGAGTACGGCGCTTCCTATCCCTGGGGTACCCATGGAGGCAGCTGTGGACCCAAATGGACATTCCTGTACTACAGTGGCAAGGCCCCCCAGAACTCTGCACTGCTCTAGTCAGTTGAGCACACAGATCCCCTTGGATGCCCTCCCAGCGTTGGCCACACCAAGGGGAAGCAGAGTCACTGCTGGGGGCTCCCTGTTCAGGCAGGGTTTGCCCCTTCACACAAGACACTTGGTCTCTTATTCCATGCCAAGCAGGACCTGTTTGTTCTTAGTAAATCCATGTTCTGTCTCTAGGCTGTTAAATACATTGTTAAAACTCAAGCTGTTGCATTTGGGTTGCAGCTGTGAACTTGGCAGCCGTGCTTGCCTGATGAAATAGGGGAGAAACTTAGGCCCTGTTGGTTTGCAGCTGGAAACATCTTTTCATGGCCATTTGGCCAGGTTGTAAATGTCCTTTCCAAAGAGCAGGCTTGTTGGGGCCTCCGACTGTATGTCTTGGACTTGCCCTGTGCTTAAAAACAGTGGTGCTCACCCAGTGGGTGAATCACAGTCATGGGGGTTTGGCAGGCTTTGGAGGACCTGCCCCCAGGGTCCAAACGAGGGCTGTCTTTGGAGAGGGGCCTACTGCGTTTGTTTCTTTTCATTTTAAGTGTATTATAAGCTATTTAAAATTTTTCCTGTAGCATTCCATGTAGAAAAAGTAGGACATACAAATAAACATGAAGAGAAAAAAATTGCCATGATATAGCTCTGTTCTTACGTATATACATACGTATTATAGATATAAATTTCTCCTTGCAAAGAAAAAATCATAGAGAACTTTGCTTGAGGTCCTGCTTTTTCATTGAACATTACACTTTGATCTTCTCTCCCTGCTAACATACATACAGTGTCACTCTTACATAATGCATAGCAATCCATTGTATGAAAGAAACATAGAATCTTCTCTTGTAGTGTCCTAACTTGAGCAAGTGTTTGATGAAGTATTTTTTGTTGGGTGCCTGGTAATGGGCCAGACATTGTTGTAAACTTTGGAATGCAGCTCAGATAAAACAAAGGGGCTTGATGTTCCTTTGTTAGAAAAGGAGGTTTGACCCCACCCATTTCTAGGCCTGTTCAGCTTGGATTTCTGAGATTCCTGGGAGGGCTTTTGGCATCACTGTACACTTTGTAGGGGTACATACACTCTTATGTCCTGTTTTCTAAGCATATGAGTAGAGGTATGAGATAGGATGAGATAGGGTAGGTGTGGGTAGTAGGTCTTCCCACATTGTGGGTCACAGTCTTTCTTGGATGCTGCCTCCTTCCAACCTGATGGTGATTAGATGACTTTTTGTACAAAGCCTTGGATCAGGAAATGGGGTGGGACTCTGAGGCTCCCCTGCCTGAGGTAGCATTGTTGATTGAGGTTGTTGGATGGCTGCTCTGGTGCCTAGCAGAGGACTGCTACAGGAGTATTTTGCAGACTCTTGGCAAGCCTTCTCCCAGAACCCCACCTGTAAATTTTTGGGACTCCAGGCTCAGATTAATGAATAGGCTCAGTCTAAGACAACTAAGACATTCCAGAGAAATGATAGCTGGTTTTCATGTAGTGAAGGAAACTGGTTGCTTTTTCCTGAGTGTTGTAAGGCACCAACCATGAACCATATCACTAGGGCGATTTGAAAGGAGGAGAGTGGCTTCTCCTTCCCCTGACATCTGATCTCTGAGGAGGTGTGCCACTGCAACTGGTTACATAGCAAGGAGAAGCTTTGGGGCCTCTATTTCTGACCATGCCTTGTCTGGTCTCCCGACCACCCCATCCTGAGGGGCAGATAGATAATGGCTCCAGCAGTGTCCACAGATACAGCCTTCTGGCCCTGCGTTTTTACTGTCCCTTCCTGTATGCACATACAGAAGGGGCCCTCCTGGGCTAGTCAAGCTTCTAGAAGCAAGGTTCCAGGCCTTCTGAAATCCGGGGCTGGAGAGGTAGTGTGGTACGACCTAGGAGCACCCTGCATCTGGAACAGAGAGGACCTGGCCTCCACCTCAGTGCTACTGCGGGCCCACTCACCTCAGTGACTTGCTTTTCCTCTGCTGACCTAATCTCTAATGGGTTCCTTAACCCCATACTCCCTTCCCTCCAGCTGATTCTGGTTTGAAAGATCTCATTCTGTGTGTCTCTATACACAGGATGGGCTTGCTGAAGGGCTCTGCCAGGCAATTGGCTGGGGCATGAACAAATGGAACTGTCATTTAATACCACCTTTTCCTGATAGAGGATACAGGAAGGGGTTGCAGTTGGGCTTTTCTGAGCCTAACTGGAACCACAGTGGATTGGAGTTTCTTCTGAAAGGTGAGGTGAGAATGGTACAAGTGACTGTGTTTCGTGAACCATGGCAGGTAAAACACTGGTGATCTGGCATTTGTCAGCTCAGACTTAGAATTCTGTCTGATAAAGCTTACGATTAGTGTGCATGTGTGTGTGTGTTGGGGGTGGTATTTGTATTTTCTTAATTTCCTCTCAGTAAATTTCCAATAGGGCTTGACTGAAGTAGAGTAGGAAGAGGAGGGACTGGCAGCGCTGGGGCTCTGTGGGTGCCGGTCCTCAAGCATGCTTGTGCTGAGTGGCCGGGGGGGCAGCGCCTGTCTGAGCTGCTGCTGGGTACCTCTGCCAGTGGGGCTTGCCTCAGGTCGTGCCTGCTGTCTTCAGAGCTGGTGCTAGTATTTCAAGGTTGATGAGAAGACAGCGGTTGGCCTCCTACCCATGTGAGCAGCCCAGCCCAGCCCAAGGTTTTGGCTCTGTGTGGCTGATTCCTTTTTGTGTCCTGAGTGCCGAGTGCTGGGCCTGGTATATGTGAGTCTTTAGTAAATATTTGTGAATGGCGTCCTGCCAGTGAGGGCTGTGTCTGCGGAGAAACCTTACTACAGGAAGAGCAGTGTCTGCCCAGAGTACTGACTCTCCTGCCTGTTCTCACTCTGCCCAGTGGTGGACTGGCAGGGGGCAGTTTTATTCCTTTTCTGTCTGCCCAGTCGTCTGAAGTATACTCACTTTGGCAGTAGTTAACCTGGAGCATTCTGTGTCAGGTTCTCTGACACTGTCGTGCCAATACTGTGGCCCTTGTAGTGGATAGGGGCTGTGCTTTAGATTTGGGACCCTACCCTTGATGACCCTGAGACTGCCCTGGCTCATGTGTCAGAAAGGAAGACTGAAACAGACAAGCACTCTGTAAAACAAAAGGGGTGGGCCAGACTCTTGGACTGATTCTAGAACTGCTGATTCTACTAGTCCCCTGTGCAATTCAGCCTTTTCATCTGGCCAGTGGTCACTAGTCTCTCCCAATAATATGTCACCTCCCAGAGCAGACATAGAACTTAATACACATAACTGTTCCACGCCCTGGTCTCCACACTGGTGATTCTGAATATCTTTCTTAGCTTCTGTGTGCTAGGTTAGCATTTCCCTGTTTTAATGTGTGTAGCTGTGCACATTACATTTGTGCCACTTCTCCTAAGTCGCTTTTCCCCTCTGTTTATCCAGTGACCAACCCTGACTGCCCTACAGCCACTGCTCTCTGTGACCATGAAACCTCAGGTATCTACATTGCTGATGGCCTGGTTTGGTGTCCTGGGCTGTGTGCAGGCGGAATTCTTCACTTCTATTGGTATGTGCCAGCAGGACTTTTGTCTACGCAAGCTATTCTTGGCTCAGGAGCCAGGAGTGTCACTGCCTGAGGCTTACTCTTATTCAAGGTAGATGGCTTCATCCACGGTTTTGACCAGTTCTAAGGAGAGTAGAAGTTGAAGAGTTGTCATTTCCCCCTCTGAAGCCCTGACTTGAATCTTCTGTTACCTCAGCTGACCCCACCCCCACCCCCACAACCATGTCCTTCCTGGGAAGTTCAGGTTGCTCCTAGGCTGTGTGACATTTTTACTGGTCTTTGCACTGGACCAAAGAGTAGTTCTGAGTAGAGAATTCTCTGTGGCTAGTAGATTCACCTGCTCCTCTCTTCTGACCTAAAGTCTCAGAGCTTATTTCCATGTGATAGAGTCCCCAGGGTTTTCATCCCCCAGCTGGATGGCAATAGGAGAAGATTTGGAGTTTCTTCCTTCAGCTATCCCCATGCCCTTAGCTCAGCATCTTGGAGCCTTTGCTTCTCTTTTCCTGAAGGAGGGGACAGGACCATGTAAATTCCTACTCAGCTCCTGGTCCCCATGATAGGACCTGGGCACAGGGGATTCATCTCTGTGCTGGTGTTTGATGCCTCAGGGAAGGGGGCTGACGACCTTACTTAATTCTCACCGGCTCTTCTCTCCCTTCCAGGGCACATGACAGACCTGATTTATGCAGAGAAGGACCTGGTGCAGTCGCTGAAGGACTACATCCTTGTGGAGGAAGCCAAGCTCTCCAAGATAAAGAGGTTTCCAGTGTCCTAAGTTTCCATGCCCACCCTGAGTCGTCCCTCCTACTCCCCAGCAGTCCATTCAGGATACCCATTGTAGATGTCCATGAGAGGGTGATTTGAGGCTAACATGAGTCTGCTTCATGCTAGTCTTTCACAGTGGCTAGATATGTGCGCTAAGGACTCATGGCTTTTCCTTGTATTTAACTGTTTTTTTTTTTTTTTGTACTAAGAGGCTTCCCAGCTCCTTATCTAGATTAAAGGGCTGGTATGTAGTGAGTTCACATATTTTTTCTTTTGCCTTTTGATAAAAAGAGTCCTCAGTCTCAACAGTGAAATCACCACAAAATTACCTGTGGTGTGGGTTACAGGTTGGTCTTCCTTTTCCTCTGATTCCACAGCTGGGCCAACAAAATGGAAGAACTGACCAGTAAGTCAGCTGCCGATCCTGAGGGCTACCTGGCCCACCCAGTGAATGCCTATAAACTGGTGAAGCGGCTGAACACAGACTGGCTGGCCCTGGAGGACCTTGTCCTACAGAACTCAGCTGCAGGTGAGGGGAGGTCTGCAGGTGTTGGATGTGCCTGCACCTGGGGGGCCACGTGGCTGACACTGTCTTGATTGTGGGTGTTGGTGGGTGTGTAGCAGTGGACACAGGCCCTGCTAATCCATGGCTCTCTGCCTGTTCTGTGGGGATCTGGCCATTGGCTGTCCCTGTATCTTAGTATGTTAATAACCATCAGTGCTTGCCTTTCCCTAATGTTTTTCACTTCCCCTTTTTCTCTTTTTCTAATTATATTTTAGTAATACATGTTTTTTATGAAAAAGGTGGTGAACAAATAATCACATATGAAAATTATAATTTTTAATCAACAGTTTAGTAGGAAACCCTACCAAAATCCCAGTCTTTCCACTTATGAATAAAAATTTAAAACTATTGGAACCATATATATATGCCAGGCAAAGCAATCTATCAGTTATTAGATAAACGATTTAACAAAAGTGAGCTAAGTGGGTGGAATGGTGGGCTCTGGGCACACAGGGGACATGGGCTTCATCCTAATTGATTCCCATTCATATCATTTTCAAATCAAACATAAGCGGGTGACAGATTTGTTACCGTATGTTAGCATATACAGTTTTCCTGAAATTTTCGGCTTTTCTTCATGACTACCACATGTTCTTATGCAGTGTGGTTTTAATGGCTACCTACTAATCTTTCATGCTGAGGTGGTGTAAATCTGGTCAAGACATTGGACGCTGGACTATTCCCCCAAATTAACAGTAATCTTGTTATAGATCTTTGTGCTGCCCATTAAGAATCAACCCCTAGGAATGCTATTAGTAGGTCAGATTATGAACGTTTATAAAGCATTCACTCTGGTAGTACTTTCTAATACTTTCCTCTTTACTGGAGATGGTGGGGTGACCCTGACTCTCAGCCCAGCCAATCAGCCCCCTGGACTTTGTTGATTAATTTTAGACTAGTTGTCTCTCTAGCTGAGACATTTCAGCCCCTGTGGCCAGACTGGGCTGGGCTTGGCTGGAGGCAGGGTGGCCTCTGGGGAGGGACTGGTGAGCTCAGCCAGGCTGGAGCTGTGCCCAGTGAGCTCACTGCCTCCAGAAGCCATGACTGCCTTTTCCCAGGCCCTACTCCTCCTCCAGCCTCAGCCTGGAGCTCAGAATCAGCTGCTTTGCTTGCACTGCAGGAGACTCAGCCTGTTCAAAAGAGCGCCTCATCTCCAGTCCTGTTCTCTACCCCTCACCCCCACCATCGACATCTGGCTCCTTTGGAAAATCTTGTAATGACTTGAAGGAGACAGGACAAGCTCACAGAGCAATAGGTTGTTTTCACCTCTGACTTTTAGTATTCTTGACCTTGAAATGACGGGGACACACAGATATTGTGGCTTTTTTCTAGGGGATGTGTTCTTTCCCTTGAATTTTAAGCTATTCAGAGCCCCTGACCATGTAGCCATGAGGAAGACAGGGTTGCAGCTTCTTGGTCCCTGGGTCCCCAGGCATGAGAAGGAGTAGGTGTTTGAGCCTGTGGTCATGAGTAGGTATCTGGGGATACTCTGTTCAGTGGAAGAGGCCAGGAAGACATGACCTTAGAGTTTGCCCCAATACTTAACTCACAGGTGAACTGAAAGCCCTGAATCATCATGGGAGGGCCGGGCCCCTACCTAGATTGCTGAGATTGCAGGAGATGCTAGAACAGCCTCCTTGAGATGCTTCTATAGTCTCTATGGAATTCTCATAGATCTAGACTGTGATCTTGAACACCACAATTAGGAAGCTAATAGCAGGTCTGAATGGAGGGAGTTCCCTAGAGAATACAGTGAGGTCCAGTGTGATCTTTCAAGGAACTGTGCTGGGTTCCTGCAGTACCACTCCGTGCTTGGCCTGGCCAGATGCTTCTGCCTACCCTAATCCAGAGAGTGGAGACAGCAACAATACTAATGCCTCCAGGCCATTTGGGCTCCCTGGGGTGACCACCTCTGTCCTTGGGATCCTCAACCTGAGATGCAGGCTGGAAGTTTGGCCAGCCCGGAAATCCTGGGTCTAGGTTTTCCATTCTGTTCTGTGGGTCTGTAAGTCTTCCCTTGTGCCCCTCTAAATTAGCCTTCCTGTCTTATGTTCCTACCAGGTCTGATTGGATGCTTTGAAGTCAAAATTCCCATACCCCCACGTTAAACAACGTGAAGAGCAATTTCTATTCAGTTCTCAGTGAGCAGCATAAAAGCATTCGGTACAGTGAGGAGTGAGAAAGGACAGACTTGCGTGCACTAGAGCCATCAGGGAGGGCTTCCTGGTGGAAGGGGAAATGCCTTCAAGGGAAGAGGAAGGGCTGTTGTACTAGTCAATACCTTCTATCAGTATCTCTAGTCCGGGAAGGAATTCTGCCCCTGGATGGAGGGTAAACTTGTTCTTTGTTCTCACTCCTTGGAAGGTTTTATTGCCAACCTCTCAATGCAGCGGCAGTTCTTTCCCACGGATGAGGATGAAACAGGGGCTGCCAAGGCCCTGATGAGACTTCAGGACACATACAAGCTGGACCCAGACACAATTTCCAAAGGGGAACTTCCAGGTAACTAACTGCTGTAAGCTTTGCCTGACCAGGGTGTGTCTCTGCAGAGTTGGAACCAGTGCCAGCTCATATTCTCTGCCCTCATGTGCACCCTCACTTCTGGAGGGGAGCCCCTCAGTTTTCCTGGTAACAGCTTCCCCTTCTCCCGACAGTCACTTCCCCTCAACCCTTGCCCCCATCCATGTGTTTGCCCAGACCCTCAGCTCCAGCATCTAGGGAGGACTCCCTTGGCCTCTGCCCCCAGGGTTTATACTCCCACCCACTGCTTTCTTCTTCTTTTTTCTAAGATTTGTTTTTATTTATGCATACAAGAACTGGGATACATGCCAGAGGTAAGGGTGAGGGTGAGAGGATTACCAGAGACGAGTGGGGAGCAGAACAGGCAGATCTACTGAAATACACTGCTGAGGGGAGCAGTGGATAAGAGGTCTGTTGTGCCACGTGGATCAGCTCCCTGGACGGGGATGAAACTCATGCAGCAGCTGGCTATACTTTGCTAGTACTGAGTCTTTAAATCCTGCATCACCAGGGAGGCCTCTCTGCTTGCTTCTTACCCAAGACTGACCTCTGGTCTTGCTGCCTTGGGTCTCTGTGCCTTTAGCTAGGGTCTCTGTCCCTCTGCATTCTGTGTCAGCCTCTGGGTTCTTTCCCCTAAGAGGACTTGCATCTCTTAGAGATAGCCCCCTCCTGTAGGATCCAAAGCCCTTTTCAATTTCTGTAACTGATTGTTTCCTTTTCTCAGCAGAAGACCTGTCTATGGGTAAAGGATCTGCTGAATTGATTTTCACCAGGTTCCTGCCACCTAACGGCCAGAACTGGCACTGCAGTTATTTATTTATTTTTTTGGTTCTTGGCCTCTCGGTGTCTGTCACACTGCTCCAGCTGCTCTTTGTCTTATCACAGTTCCTTTACAGTTAGTCACTGCTTGCCCTTATTGATAAGGCTCTCTGGGCCTCAGCCACTTTCTCCACCATTTCCACAGACCTTCCTAGAAGTGATTATCTCTGTTTTTGCCTTAAGCTGCCACCTCAGTTTTTTAGTCATCAAATTTTTCTTCCCTTCAGATTCATGTTGCTGGCTGCCCAGTAAACATCTCCTATGTGGTTCACATGACCTTTGTATGCCCCTGAACACTAATTCTTGGAGGCATCCTGGGGTCTTCCAAAACAAGCTCCCCTTCCCATGCGGTGGGGGGGTGGGGGGGGGAGAAGAGTCTAAGACTAGAAGATTAGTTGTAACCCAGCCTGCTTGCGCCCGGCACCTTACCTGTGGCCCTCTAGGTGTGTGGTCTGAAGACCTGGCGGGACTCCGCTGGGATGGTGCCCCTGTTCCACTGCCCAGGCTCTCTTTGATGTGGGAATTCCATCTCTCTCATCAGAGGCTCTTTGGAACCTGATGGTTTCCCTCTCCTGCTGCAGGAACCAAATACCAGGCAGTGCTGAGTGTGGACGATTGCTTTGGGATGGGTCGCGTGGCCTACAATGAAGGGGACTATTACCACACAGTGTTGTGGATGGAGCAGGTGCTAAAGCAGCTTGATGCTGGAGAGGAGGCCACCACAAGTAAGGCCCAGGCGCTAGACTACCTGAGTTATGCTGTCTTCCAGTTGGGCGACTTCTACCGTGCCCTGGAGCTCACCCGCCGCCTGCTCTCTCTTGGTAAGGTTCTAGGGAACAGGATGACGTGGACAGGAACTGGCAGAAGGTCCATTCTCCTGTCCGCTAGTTAGTGACTAACACCTTACTGTGTTAAAGCCCAGTTCACCTGCCAATTAGCTTATTATCCACTTTAGTTTAGGTCTTAGCCCTCTCCCATTTGCTGATGGTTATACTCAGAACTGTGTGACCGTACACACTTCTTTCTAAAATAAGGGCCGAGAACTGCAGGCCTTCACTGCATCAGCATTTCTAGAGGTAAGCTGTACTTTGGAGTTGTTCACTGACAGTGACCTCACCTGAGGTCTTATGGGTGGAACTTGCCAAACCATTGTGCTATTGAACTAAAAGAGCACTAGGTCTTTAAAGTCTATCAACTCCATTCCTTAACTGATATCATACATTGGAGATACAGGATTTCACAGATAAACAGAAATCTCTTGTGTACTGCTTTTCACGGGTCCTGAGTCATAGATATCAGCTAGCATATGCATATCTGATGTAGGATGACAACTTTGTAGATTCTGACACATTTGTAAGTGGCTTGAGTGGGGACACATGGATTCCTGTTTTATATTTATCTTAACCTAAATCTCTCACATCTTTGGGTCTCTGTTTCCTTATCTGAGAAAGGACACAGTAATCCTGCCTGCTGGCTCCTTCATGTGAGACCCGCTAGATGAAATAGTGACAGAGTCACCTAGCTACTCTATGAGCCAGTATCTCAGCCCGCCTTCAAATGGTGGCCGGAGTGTCATGTGGTCCCCAGTAATGGATTCGTCTAGGGGTCAGATGTAACTGCACACAGCCAACTGAGGGAAAGAGAGGCAGAATCTATATCCTTGGGCTCTCCAGGGAGCCCTGTGGTAGGGAGAGTCACCCTGGTGACTGGTAAAGCAGCTCCCTTCTGCTGCTTCCTCTTATCTCTGATCAGAGCAGAGAGCCTCTTTTGGTTTTTCTGCTCTGCCCAGTGAACCTTGTGTTGGTGCTGTGGATGGCAACATGCAGCATGCAAGTGAGCTGCTGGGAGAGAAAATGCTTACAGGATAATTTCTCTAAATGACCTAACAGATGTTTGTGGTTTCCTTTTCCTCCTTGTTCTTTGCTTTTGCTAGACCCGAGCCATGAACGAGCTGGAGGGAATCTGCGGTACTTTGAACGGTTGTTGGAGGAGGAAAGAGAGAAAAACTTATCAAATCAGACAGAAGCTGAGCTAGCAACCCAGGAAGGCATCTATGAGAGGCCACTGGACTACCTGCCTGAGAGGGACGTCTATGAGAGCCTCTGTCGTGGGGAGGGTGTCAAACTGGTGAGGCACATGGTTGGGTCAGGAGCCCAGTTCTAGACCTCAACTTCAACTTTGAACAGGCAGATTTGGGGAGAAGGTTTCCCTCTGTATGTTGTTCTGTCAGCATCGTCCCCAGCTCTTTTGGAACATCTGTTGAAGGTGATGTCTAGGTGCTCTGAGGTGTAGATCAGGAAACTGTCTCCTGTGAGACTCCACATAAAGTTTCTGACCATTCAGTTATTACTGGGCACCCCTCCCACCCCAACATGCCCATTCTGCCTGACTCTGTTGTGAAGAAAACCACGGGATGGCTGTGCCTCAGGCCCCAAGGGCAGGAACGTCTTCGAAGCAAACAGATGGCAGTTGCTAAAGCTTCATATTGGTCCCACTGACCTTGGAAATTGCTGGAATTCCAGTGTTTCCTCAAGGAAACTCAGGCGTGAAGCACACTCTTGGCCTTTTCTGTGCCCATACTTTGCTCCCCTTTCTCCACCCGGATGGCTTCTCCCCTGCTCTAGTCTACAGACCTACTCACATCTCTGTGAAAGGGATGAAGGCATACCTTCTACCACTGGACTTGTGAGTAGGAGATATTCTTGGGAGAGAACTATTGCGTGATTTGTCTCCAGTACATGGGGTGTCATTTCATGCCAGTCCAGGCAAGAGGCTTTTGTTTACTTCTGTAACATGGTGGGAGGAAGCAGCTGCTGGATATGGGGTATGAGATGGGCTAGGAATCACTCAGCTCAGGGCCTGTTGCTTCTTGTTTCCCAGACACCCCAGAGGCAGAAAAGACTTTTCTGTAGATACCACCATGGCAACAGGACGCCACAGCTGCTGATTGCCCCCTTTAAAGAGGAGGATGAGTGGGACACGCCACACATCGTCAGGTACTACGATGTCATGTCTGATGAGGAAATTGAGAGGATCAAGGAGATTGCAAAACCCAAAGTAAGTGTCTTCTGTAGGTCCCTCTTAGGTTACTCATCCCTGGTACCATGGGGCAGTTTGGTTGCTCACTCAGCTGGCCTTGATGGAGGCTGTCTGCGGGCTAGTGAGGTACTATAGACTCACTTTGGTCCTGTGAGTCCAGAGGGCAGAGAACTAAGAACCCACATCAACAGCCAGGGTTATAGCTGGTTATGGATTATTTCTCTTTTGGTTTTTAGCTTATTTTGGGGGGTTGTCCAGACAGTATTACACTTACAAATAAGGAAACTTTTTCTCCTTCCTGATACTTATAGTTCCTTTATTTTTACTGTCGTATTGAACTGATCAAAACTTTTAAAGCATTATTAAAATAGACATTCTTGGATGTGGTATTTCACAACAAGTGTGCAGTTGGCTGTTGGCTTTGTATTACATTTCTTTATGTGATAAAGTTATTCTTCTATTCTAGTTCATGAGGGATTAACTATTTGCTGCCATGTCTTCACCCTTCCCCTTTCACTGATGATTAGCAGGGGGGATTTGGCTTGAGACACTGTTGCTCTACTCCTAATGGGATTGTAATAGCCAGGAGGCCCAGCAGAGACATCTAAATTAGGTTCCTATTCTGGCACCTGGGCCTAGTCCTAAAATGACCTTGACTCATTCTGTAGGTGATGCAGAGATTAGATCAGCTATTGGTATCATTAATGTGGCTGAAGGAGGTTCTAGTCGGTGTGTGTGGAGAATGGGGACAAAAACCCCTACCTGCTTACACTCTCTCGGTTGGCTCTGTAGTCCCCCAGGGAAAAAAACTGTTCTCCTGGTTGCCAGAATAGAGGAAAATAGTCTCCCGGGAGATTCCTCATTTGTCCCTGTGACATAGGCACTGAAACATTTCTTTGTACATGTGCGTTCATGTGGGAGGGCATGTCCCTGTGTGTGGCAGGGGCAGTGCGGGTGGAGAGTGTCAAGAAAACTTGTCTTTGAACCGAAGCCATGTGAAGAGCCAAACATGTTCACCATCACAAGCTGACCTCTCCTTTCCGGAGTCCGTGAGGGACAGATGCTATGCTAGCTTTGAAGTAGGGCTCATGAGCTTAACTTGGCGTCCGAGGAATGCCTGGCAGCTGCCTTTATGTCCCCCGCCTATTTTCAAAATAGCTCTGTCTGTCCAAAGGAGCAAAGCACAGCTGCCCAGAGACTCAGCGTGGGCTTCAGGCCAGCACAAGGCCCCAGTGTGAGGGGGAGGTCTAGCTGTAGCTCCAGTTCATCAGAGAGGGAGCATGAGTGGAAGTTCAGGAAGGGCCTGCAGCCTCTTTGCTGGGTGCAGGGCTGTTTTGTGAGAACAAGTTGCATCAGCAGTGACCAGTTTGGTTAATTTTACCTCCTCACCAGACTTCTGTTCTATCCACATCTCTCTGTTCCTTCTGCCATTACCTGCCCAGGCCACCCGGTGCCCTGACTTCTCCCTTAGGCTCCTCACTGGCCTCCTTGTTCCCACACTGGACCTTCTTTAGTCAGCTCCATGAGGTGTCCACATGGATTGTTTTTACATTCAGATTGTGAGGGTCCTTCCCTTGTATAAAACCTTTGCTTTCCTGTTCCTATAGTGTTCCCCCTACTTGGCTAACTCCTGCTAACCCTTCAGGTTCCAGCTAGGTGGTTCCCTCCTTGAGGAAACCACTCTTGACCCTATAGACATTAAACTTACCCTTCCAGCTCTTCCCGTGATCTGATTTTCTGCCTTCCCCACCAACTGAATTATATGAGAGCGGGGGGCCATATCTTGGCCCTCAGCCTCATGCCAGGCACATAGTAGGTACTCACTAAGTATCTATTGAAATTAGGTGAGTGCTGTTGAGTGGGGTTCTCTGGGTCTTTGTACTTCTGGTGCAAGTTGTTAGGATAGTGGGTGCTAGTTCTAGGCAGCAGGTCCTTCCTGGGAGTATGTCTGTCTGGAGCTGGGGCTGTGTGTATATGTGAAGTGTGCTGGGTGGGGGAGGGGCATGTGGCCTCTAGGCAGCAGTTCACTTATTTCAGCTTGTAGAGTCCTTACCTGATTTTTATCTGCCCTTAGGAGGCTCCTAAGGGAGTGAAAACTGTGCCTCCTGTCTTGGCTTCTTGCAGCTGTGGGAATTCAGTGTGAGCTGGTGCATCAGGAGAATATTTGAGTAGGTTTTTTTAGTAGAGGAGGCTGCTCAGGTTCCCAAGGTTGTGGACTCTGTCAAGTTGAGAAGAACCTGCAAAGTTCAGTCTGGATGTGGTGGGAACAGCCAAGTGCAGTCTATGCTCAGATGGGCTGATGTGTGGTGTGGTGAGAAAAGCACTGTCCAGGCAGATGGGTGGCTGGACAAAGCAGGTGATGGCCTAATTCCACAGCAGCACAGATCTCGGTGGGAGCTGGGGTGGCCAGTCACCTGCAGGGCAACAGCCAGCTTCTGACAGCAGAGCAGGAATGTGGCAACCTCAGACTCATGCCCAGGTTGGCTTCTGGGATCTTGGAGACTTGGCTGGCGCTGTGCCAGCAAACATCCCCCACTGCTTGGACTGGCAGAGCTGGTCCTGGTCTCTTCAGGAAAACACTCCAGTCCAAGAAGGATAAGTCTGTTCTTCTTGCCTTTCAGCTTGCACGAGCCACTGTTCGTGATCCCAAGACAGGCGTTCTTACAGTTGCCAGCTACAGGGTTTCTAAAAGGTTAGCAAAGGTGATGGTGGTGGTGTGGCGGTGGTGGCAGTGGCAGAGTGGCTGCTCACTTCCCAACTCCAGAGCCTCCCAGTCCTTATTCAAGGGATGGTTTGGCCTGGCCTGGCCTTCCTGCTAGCACCTCTTCCACCTGGAGAACTCGCCGGGTGCTGCCTGTTAAGTGTTGGTTCTGGGGAGTGCAGAACCTCATCTAGGCATGTTTTCCTAACCTCCCTTTTTTCCCTTTATTTTTATCCAGCTCCTGGTTGGAGGAGGAGGATGACCCAGTTATAGCTCGAGTGAATCTTCGGATGCAGCATATCACAGGACTAACAGTAAAGACTGCAGAATTGTTGCAGGTATGAAATTGGTCGATGAGGCCTGTGATTGCACAAGGTGTATTTCTGGCTAAGTGACGCCTGAGGCCAATCCTAGGAAGGGTTGGCCAATAAACTGAACATGACTGAACAGTGAATGTGGGGTGACCTACTGGGAAACCAGAATTAAGCCTGCTTGCCAACATCCAACAGTTTGCATTGAACGAAAGTGCTTGTATAGCTCCTGTGTGCCCAAGTGTCAGGCTAGGACCTAGGGATCTGTGGTGGGCATGGCAGGCCCATTCCTGTTTTCTAACCATAGAAACAGAAATCCTGAGTTATCCAGGGATACCTCTAAGAAAGCTGTATCTTCAGAGGTCCTGGTTCTGAGTCACAATCCAGTGCATTTGGAGAGAAAATGTTCTGTGACACATTTGTAGGAGAAGTGAGAAGCATGGATTGGTTAGTTGGTGAGGGTGTAGAATGCTCTTTTCCAAGTGGATCACTGATTTCTTGCCTTTATTTCAAAGGTAAGGTTGTGAGGACACCTTGCAGCACCTTGCTGAACAGTTTTGGGTAAAGCTCCTAGTAATGTATCTTTTCACCTATTACGTGCAAATCAACACTGGTTTTCCTCCTTTCTGAACATTGGAACTTTTGGGTTCTGTGGTAAAGTGATGACCCGAGACATGGTCAGTTGTCTAGAGTTTCCTGGATGTTTCTCTGTGACCAGGTTTTGTTTAAGGATTATACCCTTCACCTTTAGGTTTGGCATTTGGGCCTGACTTACCATAGATCTCATGAGAATATCAAATTGAAGGTCACTTGGAAAGGAACTTTAGCCTGGACACAGCAAAGAGGAAGCAAGCAGCATTCCTTTCCTTGCCTGCCCCCACCCACAGAAAACAGATTTCAAAGGTGATTTATGGGTTTTGTGACATTCACCATGTTTTAAAAACATGCTGATTATCTTACAAATGGATTTTTAAAATTTTTATAGTCTTTTCAGTTCAGACCAACTTAGTATTCTCTAATTTTTAAGTCCTATAAACAAGTACATCAATATAGAACTTCAGTCACATGTCCCACTCCCCTGTATATGGGGACACCATCATTTTAAAAGCTCTAGGTATCATTTTAAAAGTTCTGTAATTAATACTTTCCTGGAACAGGTTTTTTTGTTTGTTTGTTTGTTTTAAAGACATCTGACATCTGCACTTGATGTATGTCAAAGCTGGTGTTAGGATTCCCACGTCCCTAATTGAGTCATCAGCAGTCTGCTTGACTGGCTGATTCTATACTTTCTATACCCTGGCTGAGAGGCTGAGAAGAATGGGTGGTACCTGTGCCCCTGTTGCACTGCCTGGCTTCCCAGTGGCACCCTTGGCATGCTGGCTGACATGCACCTTCAGAAATCATCAGTGCTATCCTTGGACTGGCTTTCCTACCACAAGTCTGGCTTCATCTTACCTAGCCTCTAGTCATACTGTAGTTCAGCTGATGCTGGGGATCTGAACGCCAGAATTCTTAGGAGGGGATATTCTTACATTAAGGCTCTTGTGGAAGATCCAGGCTACAGCTTGCAAGGAATGAGACATCATTTCTGTTTACGTCCTTCCTCTAGAAATATTCATGTCCTTCCCTTTGCTAGTCTGCAGTATTGAAAACTTTGATCCTGCATGATCCAGGGGGCAGGAATCCTCACTGGTCTCTAGGTGTATTCCACATGGTCGACTTCCAATGCAGTAAATTCCCAGGCACCAGCACAGCCTTCACACCAGGTTCTCTATAGAATGCTGCAGGCTTCTGGAAAGGAGCTGGTTTTTCTGTACCTGTTCACCTTCTTCCAGCTGTAGTTAATGTGTTCACTATAGACCATTTATTTTTATTTATTTATTTAAAAAATAGTTATGCATACAAGAGGTGCAGGCAGTGAGAGGATTAACTAGAGACAGAGTGGGGAGCAGAACAGGCAGATCTACTGAAATACACTGCTGAGGGGAGCAGCAGGTGGGACAAGAGAGGTCTGCTGCGCCAGAGATCTGGACAAGAGAGGTGAGCTGGCTGGGGATCAAACTTACGCTGCAGCGACTGCAGAATCCTTTACAGTGCTACAGCTTAACCTGTTGAGCCACCAGGGAGGTCCTACTATAGAACATTTAGAAAGAAAAGGATGATTGAGGTTTTCTTGTGAGTTAGTTGAGTCCTGTTTGGTAGAGGAAGAGATGCTACACTGTCAGATTCTTCACAGTTAGACACACTTGTAATTTGTCTTAATGTTACCAGAAAAGTGATTTCTAACAACTTTTTTTGATCTTCACTCTGACCTCAATATCACAAATAACCACTTACTTCAGATGATGGATGCTTTTCTTGTAACAAATACAGAGATTCAAATGAATACTTCCTCATGGCATTACTTTTTGATGTACAGTTGCTAGTTAGTAAAGGTGTGAGTCTGGGGAATGGAATTTGCCAAAGTGGTAAATCTGAATATTGCTAATCCAGACGTTCCTGTGCTACTTGCACTTTTGGGGGGACAGTATTAAGTAATTTTGGTACAGTAGCTTCAGCACCATGATCAAATGTGGTCCCCCAAACTGTAAAAGCATGAGCCGGCTATGACGGCACAGTGCCTCTTGCTAACTAGCGTGTGAAAGTGTAAGCACTCCCCACCAGGGCGGTGGGGGACTGAAAACACAGCTGCACTTTGCAGTCTCACAACAGCACACATTTAATTTTCCTGACTGAATTGGCATGTTAATCAGTCATGTTTAAAATTTTCCTTAAGTTCTCAAATAGATCCAAAGAAAAGACATCTGTCCTACTACTTAAGCTGCCTGGCACTTCCCTCTTGGATGCACCTCCAGCCGTAGGCCGCCGCCCCAGCCAGGCCGCCCTGTGCTGTTGACAGGGCTTCCAGATGTTCTTGGCACAGGAATCTTGACGGCCAAATCAGTCTGGGGACGGCGTATTTTCATCCACTAATTCTTTGTATCAACATTTTAATTTTTATGGACACTGAAAGCCATGCTCCCCAAATTCTGTACTTTACCACACTTGACAATTTTTTTGCCCCAGTGGGAGAATTTCCTCTTGTAAAATCCACCCTCTCTTTCTGTCCCTCATATATATAGATCTCCCTTATTGCTCATTTTATAGCATTTCTCACCTGTTGGAAAAAATATACCAAAACAAAACAGAAAACCCACCAGCTTTCTGAGAACAAGTCGCTGAGCCCAGAGGTGTTTAGAGTTTCATTGGACATCGTAGCCAAGTGTTCCCACATGGACACTGATGGTGCTGCTCGATGCAAGCCTGTTTAACAGATTCTACTTCTTCTTCAACTTTGTCTTTCATTCTGCCTACTGAAAGTAAAATAATCATTGCGATGCAGAACTTGTGTTGTGCAAATAAAACTGATCACAAAGTCATCTACCGTTTCTAATCCAATAATGACACCTGGGAGTTGCAGAAACTTCCACTGGAGACACTGAAGTAAAGCAGTTCTTAGCCTCCCTACAGCCAGCTGCCCACATCCTGCTGCTTAGCCTGGAAGCAGAAGTATCCCCTACAGGAGGTCACTGAGGCTTGAAGGATGTGTGTTCCCTCCCCAAAAGGGGAAAAATCCCAGCCTGGAATTTCCTTTGAATTACCTTTTGCCATTGCCCATACAAACAGAGCCCAGGGCAGGGCCTGCCTCAGGAGGGGGCTCCCTCTGCTGCTGCTGCTCCAGTCCCTGAAAGGCTGGGGCTCATTCATAATGGCCGACTGCAGATTGCCCATCTTGTTCTGTTTATGCTGTGACTACTCTGAGGCGCAGCTGTGGACATACTCTCAGCATTTACTCTGTCCGTGGTTATTCCTCATCATACAGTGGCTGTTCTTGGGGGTTCTGGTGGTGTAGGTATCAAGGTTCCTGGGGAGACAATACCCTGGGAGCTGTGCTGCTTCAGGGCTGTGTATGTTGCTGACAAAATCCAATTCTGTTTTCCCCCCAGGTTGCTAATTATGGAATGGGAGGACAATATGAGCCACACTTTGACTTCTCCAGGGTAAGACCCAAATCATGGGTGTTTTCAAAGGGCTCTGTTTCAGCTGATTGGAGAAGACTGGAGCTTCTAAGAATACTTCCGTCTCCACACGAGGCTCACCTTGTCTTACCATGGCCTCCTGTTACTGGAGTGTAAATCTAGAACCTTGAGGCCTAGGAGCCCAAAGCCACCTGGCTCTCTCCCATCATTTCATTCTTAGTGATAGCAGAAAAGCAGAGGACCTTACTAGGTCTTTGTGAAAGCTAGTCCCACCCCTCTTCCCCCAAGCTCTGACCAGGGTTGCCTTTGCAGCCTTGGCTTGTGATCCAGGCAGTTCCATGGAACCTTCTCCTGAACCTTTTGACCCCAGTCTGTGGGAGGTGGGTGATATCAGTTTGCAAACTTGGGTGAAAGTTGTTGTTTGTTGCAGCGACCTTTTGACAGCGGCCTCAAAACGGAGGGAAATAGGTTAGCGACGTTTCTTAACTATGTAAGTATCGGGTCCAGACCCGGCTGTTCACTCTCACTTAATTTTATAGACCCATGAGCGAGATGCTTTCAAGCGTTTAGGGACGGGCAATCGTGTGGCCACATTCTTAAACTACGTGAGTATGATGTGTGTAGCATGTGGCCCTAAGGGGACCCTGGGTCCAGAGTGCTTTTTTATACCCACTCCTGTAAGTGCTGACACACCAGCTGTTGCTCACTGGCTGGGCCTTCTTGCCCCTGGCACACATTTTGACTTTTGTTCCCATGTGTCTCCTCCCCCCAACTTCTATGTCCCTGGCTCCTTTTTGATGGGCCCAGTGCTATCCTGGACATTTGGGGTGCTCTCTTTTGCAACAAGGTGATGAGGGAGGTGTGAGATGCTCTTTATGAAAAGCTGCCTTTGTTTCCCCAGAGCTCAGTGCCTTCCACCTTCTGCATGTGCTCCAGCCACTGGCCTTTGGGTTTACCCCATACCGGAGGAATTGTTTCCTCTCTTGAGAGAACTTACTCTAAAGAGGCATAGAAGCTGTCAAGTGGCTGAGAGAAACTAGTGTCCGTTTTTTCATTTTGTGTCATATTTAAGGTTTTATTGTGTAGTAATTTTGGCTTGTGGGGCCAAGACATGCTGGTGAAAAGGAACTGTGTGGTCTCTCTTGGGTGCAGATGATTTAATAGGGAGGTATCTTTTAAACATAGGAAAGGTAATTATTTAGTGACCATAGTAACGAGTACTTTGAAGTAGCAGCTCAGGGTTGGCGTTCAGAGGTTTCCCTCAGTTAATAATGTGTCAAAGAAGACCTAAACGTTAAATGGAAATAAGTTGGTGGAAGATGGCTTCTGGCAGAGGAGAGAACGTGTGGAAACCTGGAAGTGGAAAGGAGCTTGGGATGTTGGAAAAATAGAAAACTGGGGGTCAGAGGAAGCTTAGGAGTTGAAAGTGACTGGAAAGAGAGGTGGTGAGACTGGCAGGGCCTGTGGATTCTAGAATGGAGTTTGGATTTGCTCCCTAATACTGTGGGAAGGCATTCAGTGCCCTTAAGCTGTTTAGTATGTGTCCTGTGAAAATCCTCTTTAGCTTCAAGTTTTATTACATTAGTAGAAAAACAAAGCAAAACCCAAAGTAGGAGAGTCAGTGGAGACTCAGCTCTTGTGCTTTGGTGATGAGTTGAGGCATACTGTGTGGGCTTGAGTGCAGACTCACTAACAGGTACCCCACTTAGTCTGAGGCCTCCCCGTGGAGGAAAGCTACATGACACTTTACCTGCTTACCCAGGTGGAGGCTGTTCTGGGAAGATGGGGGTCTGACTACAGTAATAGTTACTGGAACCAGAGAAGCAGAATCCATACATGGGATTGCAAACAGCAAGGAGCTCCCATCAGAGAAGTGTCAGGGTACTCAGTGGTGTAGGCAAGACCCATATTGGACAGAACAAGGGAGAAGGTATCCAAATACAGACTCAAGTTGTTCCTGAGGACAGTTGGGATGTGGGTCTCCTGCAGGCACTCTGCTCTCCAACATCTGATGAGCCACACAAATAAATCAGTGCTTAAGGAGGGGTGGGGTGGAGGAAGAGCCTTTCTAGTGTGAAAGGCTTGGAGCAGAGCTTCTGTGCAGCCCAATTTATGCTCAGGAGAGGGTGTGATCTGTACAACTTGTCAGTTCTCTTAGATCAATTTTGAGAGCCTTGGATAGAAGGGCCAAGCTCTGTGCCTTATATTCCCAGATGAGTGATGTAGAAGCTGGTGGTGCTACTGTCTTTCCTGATCTGGGTGCTGCTATCTGGCCTAAAAAGGTAAGTTCTGGGTCTTGTGGGTCAGAGATTAAAGTGGAGCTCAGACCTTGTCTATTCCCCCTTCCCATTCCCCTTAGTGTGAGGGACCTTAGCCTCTTTTTGCTGGAACTCTGACCTGGTGGCCCCAGCTTCTGTCTGGGGTAAAAGGATGATCAGAAAGTAGATAGGTTTCTGAACATCTACCCCACTGTGAAGATGGGTATGTTTAGGGGGAATTTCTGTTATCTTTGAAGTCCCAGAGCACTGTACTCCTGTACATGGGAAAGTGAAGGTATTTCTGCTCAGGGAGGGTTCTGTGGTGATTGGGGCAAGTCCTGGAGCCATTTCTAAGGATACTGTCTGACAAGCTGTCTGTTTTTTCCAGGGCACAGCCGTGTTCTGGTACAACCTCTTGAGGAGTGGGGAAGGTGACTACCGAACAAGACACGCAGCCTGCCCTGTGCTTGTGGGCTGCAAGTGGGGTGAGTGGCTTAAGGGGTCGTCTTGACCCGAGTCTGGGCTCTGGTGGTTGACTTGGTTTCAGACTTGGAAACCACTGCTACCCCAATTTTCACAGAGGTAAGACTGTTTCTTCAGCTGGTTATGTGTCAAAACAGCTTGTTGGAAACATACTCAGAAATGCCCAGAGACCTGAGGAAGCCCTGAAGAGCAGTGGTATTAGCATTGTAGGTCCAGGATGGCTCCCCAGAGGACAGGAGTCCGGCAAGAGTTCTGAAGGAGTATGGGAAGTAACAGGATTCAGAGAGGAAAAAAGGAGTCCCAGGGAAGCAAGGCCCACAGAGAACAAGGCATAGGGTAAAAGCAGCATCATAAGCATGAAGACTGGTTGTCTCGTCACTTGGATGAGAGGAGACATGTGGCAAAGGGGCCAAGAAATAAGGGGTCAAGGCTAGGACCAAATCACAGAGGCCAAAAGTTGCGCCTTTTCTGGAAACAACTATGGTATATGCCATGGAGACCCCTGAACCAGGATTAGGAAGTGATCACAAAGAGCTGAGTTTATAACCCTCCTGAATTTTGGAAGGGAATAGTGACAGGTTTATAGAAGATACAACAGATGAAAAAGAAAATAAGGCAGTTGTTGACAGTGGAAAAGAAAAATGTCAGTATAATCTCTGTTCTTCCTTAGGTGCAGGTATCTGAATAAACACTGAATATTAAACTAAAACTTAACGAGCTAACCATATTGGGAACTTAGGAGATTTGAAATTGATATGTGTTTTAGGGGTAGTAAAAAAGAATTCCAAATTCAAAAAGCAAGAAATAGTACTGCAGACATGTTACTCAGAACTACGAGGTAGCAGAAACAACTAAAGGAGTTGGAAATCTTTTGGAAGTGGTGATTAGCATTGGGAATGAATAGATATGAGATTACTATGTCATTGTAAGCCTTATAGAATAATTACATTTTTTTCAACTAAGTACATCCCTTTAAAAAATTGTGGTAAATTATAAAGTACTATGACTTCAGTAGTACATTAAAAATCAATTTTTATATTCACTACAAATGAGTCTTTATTAAGGAACGAAATCTTGGCTCATGTACACATCACAGAGCTTTAGATGAGTGCTAGCGCCCCTCCCTTCACTAGAGTAGTGAGTCAGCGTTACAAGCCCAGGATGGCTCTCCAGAGGAATGGACTCTGGCAGATAACAGGAGGTGCTGTAACCACAGCAGACAGATGGATTTGCTGTCCACAGTCTGAGGTTGACACCCAGGTCCGCCAGACCCAACTAGTCTTCCTCATGCTCATCTTCCTTCCCTCAACTACCATCTTTCACATCCCAGTAATACCAAGTTTCATGGGCCACTAGACCCGCACAGGGTGGTTCCTGTCTTATATTCTCTCTCATCCTCTTCCCACTTCCTGAACTCCTGTGGTGTAGGACTATCATGGTCTATCCATCTATTTCCCTGGAAAACTACTCAGCTTAGTCTATCTACCTCTGGGGGCTCGACCTTTTCCATCCGCTCACATGGTTAGACACCCATTAGCTCTTGTTTCCAAGCAACATACACACATTTATCTTGTGTCACTGGTGACTTTTGTAGTTAATCTGTTTGCACACATCTGTCTTCCTCATCATCCATTGAGCAATTTTCCACTGAGACCATGTCTCACTGTGTCTGATTACTGGGACTCAGAGAAGAAAGTCATGAAGGAATCATTCAGTTTGCTGCTAAGCTATCCAACAGGATTGTAACATAAATTCTTTCTGTTCACAGTCTCCAATAAGTGGTTCCATGAACGAGGACAGGAGTTCTTGAGGCCGTGTGGATCAACGGAAGTTGACTGACATTCTTTTCCTGCTCTTCCCTGTCCTGGCCCCCAGCTCATGTCATCTTCAGGTTCAACGAGACACCCTTTGTATGTTCCAGCCCATCAGGCAGGTCTTTGCAAGAGTGAATGTTTGTCTGGAACAGAGGAGAGTGCACTGGACAGGGTCCTTGGTGACCTGGGTACCAGCTTCTTTGATCATTTGAGCCACCTCTGCGCTCTAAGTGAAAGGTTGCAGCAACTGCAGCAGTTAGACTGTTTAGCACCTATCAAGGTGCCTTTGTACCTCAAATGTTTTAGGTGTGAGATGTTTCAGTGAACCAAAGTTCTGGAAATTTTTTTACATGTTTGTTTTTATGGCATTTCTATCAGTGTGGCTTTCACCAAAAAATAAAATGTCCCTGCCAGAAGCCTTAAAGAGCCTTATTTGGAGTATTTTTTTTGAGACTGGGGAGCTTTTACCAAATTCACATTTCCTACGCAGCTTCTTTATGCAGGCAGTCTGGATAATCCATATATCAGTGACAAAACCCTGACCATGGACCCTGACCTGGTTTCAACACTTAATGTCTATTAAAGTTCACTGTCCTTTCTGTAAAGTAAGGAAAACAGACTGTCTTTGCCTCCCAGAGGACACAGAGAGCATGTATGTTTATGACTGTGATGGGGTTATAATTTAAAATTTCTTATTTTTAAATTTGGAGATATATACAAAGAATTGTTCATGATAGAGAAACATGGTTTAAAGACTATAAAGGTGAGTATAGTACCCATGTCACTACTGCCAAACTTAGAGTTGATTTTTCAAATCTGAGTCTTGAAAGCCCATTGTGAGCCCCCCTCATCGGTCATACCTCCTCCCCTGCCCCTAGCACCTTAAACCATTGTCTAGTGATTTTTTGGAGGCCATATCTTTGCTTTTTTTTTTTTCTTCGGTACTCTTACTACCTGTGTCTACATCCCTAAATAAGTTTTGTTTACCTTAATTTTGAAATTTTTATAAATGGAATCAGAGTATTTTTTTGGTGTTTGACTTTTTTTTGATGATTCTTTTTAAGATTCATCCATATTGCTATATAGCTGTAGTTCATTTTAATTTTTATAGTTCATTAAGTTTTGTTAATATATATGGTAGGAAATAATGTAAGCAATATACTGTTGATAGACATTTGGGTTGGCTCCAATCTTTGTGTATTATGAGTGATGCTGTTATTAGCATTTTTACATGATTCCTGGTGTTTAAATACACACACTTTTCTATAGAATATATATCTAGAAGCAGAAATGCTGGCAGTTGGTAGGTGGGTCTTCAACTTCACTGGGTGTTATTCCAGAGTGTTTATACACATTCCGGAGTGATTATACACATTCTCAATGAGAATAATAAATGAGAGTAATAAATGAGAATTCTTGTTTTCTTAATTTCCTCCAGAATCTGGTATTGTCATACTTTCATATTTTAACTAGCCTGTTACATGCGTAGTACTATCTAGCTTAGTAGTAGTGCTAACATGCTTATCGACAGTGGATATTTTGTATGCTTATTAGCCTTTGGTTTCTTTTTTCAGTTTCTTCTCTGTCTTGGGAATTCTGAATATATAATGAACACAGCTATTTGTTGATAATATATTTTGCAAATACCTTCTTTATTTTGCATTTTGTTTTTTCACATTTAGTTCTTTCAATGAATAGAAGTTATTTTTGTCTAATTTATCAAGATTCTCCTTTTCAGTTTACGCTTTTTTTATGTCTCATTGAAGAAATTCTTCTATGTCCCAATATCATGAACGTATGTTCTATATTCTTTTCTAAAAACATGGTCTTTAATATGTGTGGACTTTATTTTTAGATAGGGTATAAGAGCCAGGGGGTCTACTTAAAATTTTTTGCATATTTTGTTAGGATAGTGTAGGTTTATATTAGTAATAACCCCTACATAAACTAAATAATACATAAACCCTAAAATTCAGTGGCTTAATATATAAAGCTGTCACTCATGCAAAAAGAAAAGCACTGAATTCTAGGGTAAACGTTGCCTATCTACTGCCATCAGTATTCCTGTAGTGCTTTCCAGTTAACAAAGTAAAACTCCAGTGTAACAACAGAGTATAGATAGATGAGCTTAGGGCTGCAGAATAACAGAAAGCTTACTGGCATACGAGGTAGGTTTTTAGTTTTTTTCTGTTTGAGATTCTTGGGGCTTCTGGAATATAGTAGTATCTTTAATCATTTTTGGAAAATTATTAAATCAATTTTCCTTTAACTTTTCTGTGTTCCTTCTGAAACTGTAAATGCAAGTTAGACTATATTGAACTATTCTCATTACTTAGCCTGTCCTTTCATTTTTGTCTGTGCTATGTTTTTGTAATTACAGGTATATTTAGTTTACTAATTATCTCTCTTATTAAATGCATCTAGTGATTTTTCTTTGGGCACTTTTAAAGTTATCATTCTATTATTTCCTAGATTACACCCTTTCCTGTTGAAAATTCAGTTATTTTGTTCTTTGTTTATTTAAAAGTAATTTTCCTCCCGCTTCCTCCCTGCTATGTAGTATTTGTTGTTTTGGTTTTCAGTAGTTTTATTGTGATATACCTACTGTGGGTTTCTTTTGTTATCTTCTGGCTTGGGAGTTACAGAGCTTCTTGAACTTGTGAGTTGACGCTTTTGATCAATTATGCTATTTCTCAGACATTATTCAAATTTTGATCCTGTTCCATTTCCTGACCCCTCTCTTTGTGGGACTCCAGAAATCCTCATGTTAGAGTTCTTCACTGTTTATGGCTCCTCTGTGTCTTCTGTCCTGTCTTCCTGTTATGCTTTATTTTTTCTTGATATATCTCCCAATATGAGATGAAACTACTGTGTAATTTTTTTCTTTTAATGTTCTTGAAGCTGCCAAGAGATCTACTGTTTTTTGTGCCTTTTCATAGTTGCCCATTGTTGGATTCTTCATTGGATCCTCAGTCTCTAATCCCATGCTTACAATCAGCAAATGATGTAAGTATAAAAAGGCTAGACACACCAACCTGAGATTCATCCTTCCTCAGAATCTTGATGCTAAAGTCCTTTCTGCTTCATCAGTTTGTTGACACCTTCAAGATGTGTAAGAGATATTATCCAGCTTTCATGGTTGTTTCTGACACAAAAGTTGGTCTACCACAGCTACTCCATCTGGGCCGGAAATGAACATCTCTTAGTCACTTAATTTTTTATTTTCTTCAAAGTGAAATAAAAGAAGGATACAGAAAACCTTGTCTGGTACCTTACTTGTATGACATGTTTTATATTTATCTTGAACTCCCCCTGTATCAAGCCTGAATCAGCCATGTTGCCTCTCTGTCAATTCCAGCCCTCAAAAAAAATACAGGATAACCTTAGATATTGCACTATTTTCAGTATCCTTCACTAGCATGTTCTTTATTAACATGGTCACCATGGCAGTAGAGAGTTTAGCCTTTTGCCAATAGTATATACTTGATAGTGTGATAGGGATATCACTATTATTTCAAATTCACAACTTTTGACCAAGCTAAAGGTTGAAAAGTTAGGCAATGTACCTGAAGTTATATGAGGCCATAATGCTGGTTAGTACAAGACCTAAGAATCAACCCTGCTCTGGCAAAGTCACAAAGCTTTTTCTCTAAAGAGTAATTTATATTTTCATCCATTCAGTAGTTATTAAGGATCTGTTGGGGAAGCAAACAAAAATACTGATTTTATCTTTAAAGAATTCAGTAATAGAAAAAGATTCTTAAATAGATGTGTAAAATGTTTGATACCTCATAAAGAACCCAGTGCTCAAAGAAGTACAGGAGAGAGAAGCTGGTACTAAGAGGAAATCTTAGATCTGGATCTTGGAGCCTAAGTAGAAATTTCCTTTCTCTGCTATCCCAGTTTAAAATTCATGTATGGTGGGCCCTCCCTGGTGGTGCAGCAGGTTAAAGCACAGCACTAAGAAGCTAAAGCCACTCAGCATGAGTTCGATCACCCACCTAACCTGGAGGTGATCCACATGGCGCTTGGCAGACCTCCTGACCTGCCCACTGCTCCCCTCTGCAGTACTTTGTCCATCTGCCTGTTCTGCTCCCCACTCTGTCTATGGTGAATCCTCTCACCACCCCTGCACCTCTGGCCTGTACCCCAGTTCTGTATGCATAAGTAAATAAATCTTTAAAAAAATAACATGCATGGCTTAAAAAATAAGGGACAGAGGGCCCATTCTGGTGGTGCAGTGGGTTAAAGCGCATCATTGCAAGCTGGACGCAGCTGCTTCAGTACGAGTTCAATCCCCAGCCCTGGAGGTGATCCACATGGCACAGCAGACCTTTCCTGACCTGCCTGCTGCTCCCCTCTGCAGTGTACTTCATCAATCTGCCTGTTCTCCCCACTCTGTCTCTGGTGAAACCTCTTGCTGCTCCTATACCTCTGGCCTGCACCCTTGTTCTATATGTATAAATAAATTCATTCTTTAAAAAAAAATAAGGGACAGCCTCCCTGGTGGCTCAGAGGTTAAAGACTGCTCTATCAAGCTATCACCAGCCACTGCACCACAAGTGCAATCCCTGGCTGGCAGGGAGGTGACCTACATGGTGCAGACAGACCTCTCTTGTCTTGCCTGCTGCTCCCCTCAGTAGTATATCTCAGTTGATCTGCCTGTTCTGCTCCCTCACTCCCCTCTACCTCTGACCTATACCCCAATTCTTGTATACATACATAAATAAATCTTTAAAAAAAATAAATAACAGAAAATTTTACCATCAATAATTCTTCCCCACCCAAATGCTCTCTTCTCCCTTATAGAGGGAACTCTTTAGGTTGTCTTTAATTTTTCTGAGTATCAACCATATAAAGTACTATCTCTTGATTTTTTTCACTGTAGAAATTTTGAGGGAAGATCATCTAGCTGTATTCAACATCCTCTATTACAGCTCTCCCACTTTTTTTTTTTTTTTAAATTTATTAGTACAGTACTGGGGTACAGGCCAGAGATGTGGAGGGTGAGAGGATTCACCAGAGACAGAGCCCGGAGCAGAACAGGCAAATCGAGGAAGTACACTGCTGAGGGGAGCAGCGGGCCGGTCAGGAGAGGTCTGCCTCACCACGTGGTCACCTCCAGCGCAGGCGGGGATCCAACTCATGCGGAAGTGGCTTAAGCTTCTTTGTGCAGTGCTTTGACCTGCTGCACCACCAGGGAGGGCCAGCTCTCCCACTTTTTAATACATTAGTTGCAGTCCTCTTGTTTACCTTTTGTTTTATATGTCTAACATAGGATTTCTGACATTTTAGTATCTGAGATGAAGAGTTAAATTAGTGTTTGGCCAAATAATTGGTAATTGTCTAGCCCAATGACATAAAATGAATGATGCCCTCTTTCCCAATTTCTGTCATTTATACTTTAGATATTCTTCTAGTATT